CAAAATATGGGAGCAATCATTGAACAAAAGCTAGCCCTTGCAGCTGCAAACAATCAGCCAGTCAGGAAGATCATAGCACATCATGGACTTCAAGATAGACACTATGATGAGTGAATGACAGCAGAAATAGCAGCTGTCTACATTGGAGGTGAAGGAGCACCTCCAAAACCATGTCGAAAGACAGCTTGAAATGTATCGAAACAACCAGCAAAACACTGTGAAAATAAGAGCAACAAACCTAATGACAGATCCAATGACCATTCATTTGCTTTTTTTCGCCATGAAACAGGTTGGCACACGGAAATTACACAGAACATTACCCAACCTGAAAAGCAAGGTTATAGGGCAAGACATGTACATGCAAAGAAACACATTTCATTAAACGAATTCTATGCTTTCAGGGTTGGCATCTGTGACGCATTTACCATCATCCATTGTTCAAGCCTGCTGTTTCAACAGTTCTTGGTGGATGCCTTCACAAAGAGTCGAGTTCATAAGATGTAATGAAGCTCAGCTCAGGGTTGAATCCTACCATGGCCTAATGGATCACATCCATGCACGTGCAGAAAAGTAGCATGCCAATGTAGGCCGCATTGTGATCTTACTCTTCACATTTCATGGTAGTGACAGGAATATGTAGCAAAACTACAGTGCATACATAATGCCATGAATATTGTAACCAAGCAACCAAGTGACAGGCCAGTCATCATCAGCCATGTCTTCCATCTGCAATTTTAAGAGCTCTTTGAACACCTCCTAAAGAGTCTTTTTTAGGACAAGTGGAAGCTCATATATGCACTATAGAGCTTCAGAAACATGGTTTGCCACATGCGCATATGCTCATCTTTCTTTCAAACCCAAACAAACCACAAGATGCTCACGAAATAAATCACTTGGTTTCAGCTGAAATTCCTGATCCTCAGACCAATGAAGAGTTGCACAACATGGTCAAGAAGCACATGATTCATCTGCCATGTGGTGTCCTTGACCCACATTGTCCGTATATGACCCACATTGTCAGAAGGGAAATGCACCAAGAAATTCCGAAAGCCATTAAACCAGCAGACAGAATCCAATGTTGATGGCTACCTGCAGTACAGATGATGTGGTCAATTTGCAGCCAAGCTACAACACAACCTCGCCAATGACTCATGGATAGTGCCTTTCAACCCTAATCTACTCAAGAAATACATCTGACAAGCATCAAAAGTGTGAAGTAAATTTTCAAATACATCCACAAATGAAGTAACTGTGCAGACGTTGATATCAGAGAGAACACTGTCCATCATGATGAAATCCTCCAATAACTTAATGCAAGATATGTTGGACGGCACACAGCAGTGTTCAGAATCATGCAGTATAAATTTCATGACAGAAGTCACACCATTATTTGCCTTGCAGCACATCTCCCTCTACAGCAGAATGTCTACTTCCAGGAAGGACGTAAACAACAGGTTCTACACAGAAACCTGAATACCACACTCGCTGCTTGATTCGGTTGAATGACCATGATAAAAACACACACCAGTACTTGGACAAAGGTAGCTGTACATTCAACAAAGGAACAAAAACAAGGGAACAAAATATATTCTTATAATCTTTATTACTATAACTTCCATTTCAAAACTATTGCCCATTTGCTTAAGATATACATCACTGAATAAATAGCTAAATATAAAAACTAAATTAATTTTCTGATTCCTGGGTATGTTTTGTGTCAAAGATTGTTGGACGAATTTACCAAGTTCAGCCATCTGATCCAGAGAGATGTGCTTTGTGACTGCTTCTCCTCCATAAATGAGGTGTAACATATTTTGAAGACCTGAGAACAGTCGATGGTGAACTGCATGTTACATTCAACAATACAGCAAAAGTCTTGGGCATATTAGATGATGATGCTGAGCTTATACATTGCCTAAAAGAGGCTGTGATCATCAACATGCCACTGCAGATGAGACAGCTCTTTGCAATGCTCGTCACCTTCCAGACTCCAGCTGACATCAGATTATCTCTCATCTCCTGTAAAATACAGTTGTTCATAACGTCCAGGGATTAAGAATTACTGTTAAATGTGTTGCATACTCAGGCATTGCAAGTACGATGCTTATCAATGGAAGCACAGCACTTTCTACATTCCAAATTTCTATCCCGTTGTTATTTTATTTTACCTATGACATAAAGCGTCAAAGTGTTAAGGCTAACAAGCTTTTACAAACTGCTGTATTTATCTTGGATGAATATCCCAGCTAAATGATCCCAGCAAATGCTTTTGAAGCAGTCAATATTCTCCTTAGAAACATCACACAGATTGGCAGACCATTTGGAAGTAAGTACATGTTTCTTTGAGGTGATTTTAGACAAAACCTCCCAGTAAAAAATAATCGTCCAAGAGAGCTTGAAGAATTCACATCATTGTAACCATTTCCACAAGTTTCAACTTGTAATGAACATGAGAGCCATTTATGATGAGCTGTACAGAGAGTTTGCAGATTGGCTCTCGAGTCAACGCTTTAAAGGAAGTAGATAATTTTTCTCTGGACATTACCCAAATTGATAGACCATTCGGGGTTAAATTCATGTTTCTTGGTGGTGATTTTAAACAGGTTCTCCCAGTCGTTCTTAAAGCAGGTAGAGAACGAATTGTGCCAAACAGCATGAAGAAATACCTCTCTGAGAGCCATCCAGGACAAAACATACCATGAGTTTTCAAAGTGGCTAATTACGAATTGGAAATGGACAAGAAGCACAGGATCAAGAGGATCAAATCATGTTGCCTGACCGCATGTTGGTGCAGTCATTTGACAAGATTGTTCAATTTCTATATCCACAACCTGGAGAGCCAGACGTAATTGCCAATCCAAAAGCAATGGCAGAACACTGTTGCCTAACACCGACCAATGATTCCTCCTCTTCTGAAATCAACCAACTCATTTTGGATAGGCTGCACACACCCACTCAGATATGACAGGGTAATCACTGATAATTTGCCTGCCATGTTTTTTTTAATTCATGCCATGTCGAATATCCACTTTATTTAGAAAAATGAGACACACTTCAGAAATTCCTCACATTTATATTCTTTTCTTTTCACAAATCAAGCTTGGTGCATCAATCATTCTCCTGCAAAACCTCAACCTAAAGAAAGGTCTCTGCAATTAAACCTGTCTAATCGTCCAGGATTTGCAACGCCACCTGAACTGGGTGGAAGTCACTGCCACCGAGTATAGAGAATGCTATGTCATGATTCCACCAATCACAATGTCCTCTCAAGATACCACCCTACCCACCCTTGACGTTGCCAGACTGCAATTTGCTGTAAGGTTGGCATACTGCCTTACCATCAACAAAGCACTGTGACAGCTGTTAAGGTATGTTGGCGTTTATCTTCTACAACCGGTTTTCATACATGGCCAATTCTATGCTGCCATGTCTAGAGCCAAATCATTCACAGCCATTAAGATTCTGTTGCCACAGGGTAATAAAACAAAAATGTTTACCCTGTAGTATTACTGTAAAAATACTTCTAAACGTCAGCACCCTGGGACATGATATTTGATATGCTTAGAAATTATAAGAACATAATTAGAGGCCAAAGCAACAATGATTGTCCTTTCGTTGATAAGTCCTTTCATCGCTTACTTTCTAAGGAACAAGCCGAGGTATATGGGGGTAATGAATTCCATTTTAAGGTTGAAATCGCTAGAACGTACTAAATGCATGCCATAAAAAGAGTAAACTGATTTAAAAAGATTGCAAGAAAATGACTGCAAGAAATATTTCTAAAATTTATTTAAAGCCAATATAAAGGGCGCATAATATAAGAAAATTAGCAAGAGTTTGGAAATCCATCCAAATATTTCTTAACATCGCTCTCGACTCATGGAAAATCCTGGCCATACCTATAAGCTTACTTTGTTCACTACGAAGTTGCCCACACTTTTTGAGAGAGAACCATTAAACAGCCAGGATTGCCTAAAAAGAGAAAAAATAGCTTTCCAACACATCTTAAAAATCTATTCTTGGCATTCATCTAATTTTCTTTCATAACATATGTGTTGTAATGTCATAGCTACGGACAAGTTTATTATTGGTCTGTCTACAAAAAGTTTAAAATAGATTGCAGCTGTATATTTTCCCATAACCAACAAAACACCCCTATTAAAGAAAGAAAGAAAGGAAGAAAGAAAGAAAGAAAGAAAGAAAGAAAGAAAGAAAGAAAGATAGAAAGATAGATAGAAAGAAACAGCTTTCCCACACATTCAAAATCTTTATCCGGCACTCATCAAAATTTTGGTCACAACAAATGTCACCATACTGCTATTTACGTCCTGATTGATTAGCTAAAAATACACTGCAGCTGTATATATTGAGGACGGCATTGAAATTCTTAATTGTGACCTTGAGGCAAAACTCGAGGGACAAAATGGACATCATGGAATTAACCAAAATTTGATGAGATATTAGGCAGACAATCGAGTGGATGCAGCGGCAGAACTTGCTAAAAAGAGGCATAGGGTGCAGGGAGCGAAACCGCAGGAGACAAATGGTGCTGAGGGCTTGATAGCCAGGATGTTTCCAGGTGGAAATGCAGGTGTGGGAAGACAAGAACGATCCGTGATGGAATAGATAGTTCTCATAATGATTTGCCACTGGAGAAGATAGTTCTCATAATGATTTGCCACCGGAGAAGATAGTTCTCATAATGTATTTCTGGGCTATGGACGCCAGTATTTGGACCTGGAGCGGCGTTACAGTTTTGTCAGAGCACACAGTTATTGACTGGTACAACATGTTGCC